AGCAATCAGGAAACAATCAATATCCAAATAAATCGTAAGGATACAAGCAACAAAGTTACAATCCTGCAATCTTAAGTGGGAGGAGATGGGTGATAGGAATGATGAGAAGACTAATAGGAATAGTAATGCAGCCTTAGTGACTAGTTTGACAGGAGAGAGGGCATTATTTGTTTAGCAGAGTGATGGCCTTCGGGAAAAAACTGTTCTTGTATCTAGTTGTCTTGATGTGCAGTGCTTTATAGCGTCGTTTTGAGGATAGGAGTTGAAGCACTTTATGTCCAGGATGCTAGGGGTCTATAAATATTTTCACAGCCCTCTTTTTGACTCGCGCTGTGTACAGGTCCTCAATGGAAGGCAGGTTGGCAGTCATTGTTTTTTCTGCAGTTCTGATTCTCCTCTGAAGTTTGTGTCTGTCTTATTGGGTTGCAGAAATATAAAAGAGACAGGCAATTGCTCCATGTTTATTTTCCTCTCAGGGCTTTGCTGGAGAACGAGAAGAAGAAGAGGGAGATGGCTGAGAAGGAGAAGGAAAAGATTGAACGGGAGAAAGAAGAGCTTATGGAGAAGCTCCGGCAAATTGAGGAGCAAACAAAGAAAGCTCAGCAAGGTGGGCAGGAGGGCTGGCCTCAGGATGGGCCCTGGGAGAGGAGCACTGGGGGGGCAGAAGGGGTGACGCTTCAGCCTCTTTCTCCAGAGCTGGAGGAGCAAACGCGCAGGGCACTGGAGCTGGAGCAGGAAAGGAAGCGAGCTCAGGAGGAGGCAGAGAAGCTGGCCAAGGAGCGGCAGGAAGCCGAAGAAGCCAAGGAAGCCTTGTTGAAAGCCTCCAATGATCAGAAGAAGACCCAGGAGCAGCTGGTAGGTTGTCTGGGGAGAGCTCAGCCCCAGGCATCTGGCATGGCTTCCGAGCTGCCCAAATGCCAGGGAAGCCTCTTTGGTGGAGGGGGCCTGCCTTTGGGGGTGGAGGATGGGAAGATCAGCTCTGCAGCCAAGGTGGCCGAAGGGGAGGCACTGCTATGCTTCACAGGACAGGGGGGAGGACGGGCCTGGTGGACGAGAGCAGAGGTGTGCAGTATGAGGTTGTGCAAGTCCTGGAAAGCATCCCCCAAACACCTCTCAAAATGTTGCCCTTGTAGTAGAACTCTCTGCATCAGACAAAGGGAAAATGATTCCTCCTGTCCATTTTATCATGCATTAATGACACTGCCAGGGAGGCGGTGGCTCAGTGGCTAAGGCACTGAACTTGTCGAACAGAAAGGTCAGCAGTTTGTATCTCTAGCGTTGCATAATGGAGTGAGCTCCCATTACTTGTCCCAGCTTCTGTCAACCTAGTAGTTCAAAAGGATGTAAAAATGCAAGTAGAAAAATAGGGACCAGCTTTGGTGGGAAGATAATAGCGTTCCGCGCCCCTTTGGCTTTTAATCATGCTGGCCACATGACCATGGAGACGTCTTCAGACAGCACTGGATCTTCAGCTTTGAAACGGAGATGATCACTGTCCCCTAGAATCAGGAACGACTAGCACATATGTGCGAAGGGAGCCTTTACCTTTACCTTAATGACACTGCTGTTCATTTATTTCACTGAATTTAATTTTAAATACTGCAATACTGCAATACAGGAGCCCAACCAACTTTCAAAGGGTAGCCCCTGACATGGTTTCCAAAGATGCACATGCCAACAGAAGATGTACTTTCTGGTATGGGGCATGCAAAGACACCCCCCTCCCCCAAAAGCAGTTCCCTGCTGTGAGTCATAGAAAGTTCAGGAGGCCCCTTTTTGTACTGGATCAGCTCAGGCCTCCTGAGTTGGAC